AGGAATTTTCCCCCCGGGGAAATTGGCAGGGGGCGGGGGGGGGGGGGGTGTTGCCTTCCTCTACAGTTTGGGGCACGGGTCACTTGCTGGAGGATTCTCTGCAGCTTGAAGTCTTTAAACCATGATTTGAGGACTTCAATAGCTCAAACATAGGTCAGGGGTTTGTTACAGGGGTGGGTGAGTGAGATTCTGTGGCCTGGGTTGTGCAGGAGCTCAGACTAGAAGATCATAATGGTCCCTGCTGACCTTAAAGTCTATGAAAGTACTCCAGTGCACAAAAGCAGCTGCCTCACCTCTCCCAAAGTGACTCCCCCCACCCCCACTTTTAAAAAGAACCCCCCCTTTTTTTTCTGAAAACCATTTTGTTTAAATCACCAAGAATCACCAACTAAAGGCAGTAGTATTTAATTTCTCTTTTTTTTTTTTTTGAAAAAAGTATTGTTACAAAACCTCATACAATTAAAAAGCATTTTAAAATATATTTAGGAAGTAAACTGGTTAAAGCATTATGTAGGGTATAGTCTCATTTTCATATTTAATTCTACAAGAGTTCAAAATATTTCCCCCTACCTCACCCCTCATAGCAGTAAAAAACACCACACAGAAAAGATTTATTTGCTCCCAGCATTTATAAAATACTTTGACACAGCACTACTAGAGGGAATGAGGAAAAAAGGCAGGGAGCACAATGTTTTGAGTCCAGTGCTCCACTTCATTTTAATGGGAGACTGCAATGCACACAGTGTGATGGCTGGGTCTTGAGGTCCCAATCCAGCAAAGCACTTAAAGTACGTGGTTTGCTGGATCAGGTTCTGGAGAGCCACTGTTGGTACAATGGAAGGAAGGGCACCACTGCATAACTGTTCTCCCACAATAAAAACAGTAAGGGTAAAGGTTGCATATTTTAAGACAGCATTTTTTAAATATTAAAGCAAACAATCTTTAAATAATGATTTCTATATGTAAACAGAACTCTTGGGGTAGAGTTCCTTTAGTGGTTTTTTCACGGTCCATCATCTGAAATTTCAGAAATTCTGTCGATCGATTTAAGGAGTTCGGCAACGACCTGCAATGATTCTGCTCCAGAGACCAATTGCCTGGAATTTAAAAAACAAAATACTGAACGGGATAGGGCAGATTACAAGTAACAAGAAACGTTACCAGAAGAGGGGTCGATATGCAGAGACAAAGAACAATAAACAGGGCATTTCAAACTTATTTATATCAGAGAACATTTATGCAACTTCAGTTGCTAAGAAAAAAACAGTTCACTTGAATTGCAAAATTCACTGTAAAAAAACAAAAACATTTAGGTAGATTAGGATTAACATTTACATCATTAAAAACCCTAGTTGTACAAAAGCTTAATATTACACAGAAAATGGACTTAATTTTGAACAGTTAGTGAAAAATCTGAATTGTGTAATTATTTTTCTGCAGTGTGTGTACAAACATAAAACTGAGCTACTGTACGTGAACTAGAAAGTGAAACTGAACAGTATTTGCACCTTCACCTATGTGAAACTGAAATTCAAAATGTAAACAAAAGGTGAAATCATGATCTCATGAATGTCAACGGAAGAGCCTCCAGTACTAATTTTCATTTAGTCTACAGACGCCTGTTAGGACAAGTTCTTTACTTTACAGTTCTCTTTATAAAGCTGAACTTACTTTATTGAAGAGCGTGAATTTGTAATTACTCTCAGAAGATTCTGCAAGGCAATATCTGCATTTTGTTTCACTACAGCCAAACTAGCAGACTGGCCAGTCTTCAAGGCTTCATTCTCTGTCTTGTAATTTTTCAGCTGAACCTTAGGAAGAGTTTAGTTTATTATAAGCAATTTTCCTGGAGCAGATGCACATTTATTTATATAAGATGGCATGAGAAAACAATTCCTATGAGTACTTGAATGCTGCTTTTTGGGACTAACTTAGGGCTCTCTCCATTAGGAATTTGTGCCATCTGCAAGATCATGGTCTCCCCTTACAAGGATCAAAATTCTTCATGTGATCTCTGATCCAGGACTAAACCTTGGAAGCCTTTACCAGACTTGAAAGCATTTGTACTAGTCCCACCAAATGCTTCTAACCCTAGCAGGTTGCTAGTTAGCAGTCCCGAAATCTGCTTCATTCTGAAAATCATCTTGCTTCTGCTTCTCTTACTCAATTTTAATTCTGATATTAAAGTAGTGGATTTTCCAACTCATTTAGAAGTTAATATTGGATATCAGAAAGCTGAACTTCCAGGTGGTGTTGGGGTTACTGTCTTCTCTTAGCAGTGTAAAATAGAAGGGACTAAAATCAGTTCAAATTTAGAGAGTGCATTGGGGATGAGGAAGAGGTTAATCAGAATAATGCGATTTTAATGTCTATCACGTAACATACCATGGCTAAAAGTCAGTGTTTATGCCAGTGGAAAGTGAGAAATCCCAGATTCTGTGGGATAAGAAGCCTCACAATAGTTACTGGTCCCATGGCGCACAAGTTCTAAACTTTGGAGTTGTGAAATTTTTGGTTTACATTGACTTAATATTCATTCAATTAGAACACAAGGACATTTTATAAAAGATTCACCCACAGGTGAATACTTTTCCAGTAGCACGGTTATAAACTCTATTTAATATCAAGATATGTTCACGTGAAGTTCATACAGTAAGAGAACCTTAAAAAGGAGAGGACAGATTCATACCTGAAGTAGTGCATTTTCCTGTTTCAGTTTTATAACATTATTTTCTGCTTTCACAGCCCGTTTCTGGAATACAAGATACCAAGATTATTTATACTGTGGTAGTGCCTAGAATGCACTATGCATTTTCCTAATACAGAGGAATGTATAAGTCTTACCTCAAAGAGACCAAAATAACATACTAAAAAGATAGGGAAGGGATATAACATACCAATCAAGTGATCAAGGCCGCAATATATCGCTTCCTTCCGAGTAAGGAAAGGATTTACTCACTATAAACATATGACTTAATTACCAATTTTCTTGCAGGCAATGCCTATATGTAAATATTTGTAAATTATGTGTAAGTTGGGTGTTTCCAGAAAGCTACTGGAACAGCTGAATATAAGTGATTAAGACTCTTTAATCAATCATGCAAAGCCCTGACTCCTGTATAACTGAGGTACTTTTGGAGTGGAACTCAGCTCCTTTTCACGTTCGCAGCCCTTGCTTCAGAAGTGCTGTCAGTAATAGACACTTGATATTATGAAAAGTGATAGACAACTTGTCTCCTGAATAATGTAAGGGAAAAAGTTGAACCGAAGTGTCAGAGTGGAAAAGAGAATGTTACCATTACTCAACCATCCTCCCGCCTGCATTGCTTATGCTTCCTCCAGTGTTTGAGGAGGAAAACAAAAACCCACAGGGCAGCCCTGATCATGGATCTGTATTATAAGAACAAAGAAATATTTACCGTCATCAACTGGAGATTCTCTTCTACATGCTGCACCATTGCTTCTAGATCCCGGGCCTCTTTTTGCTCTTTAATCTTGTTCTCTTCTAGTTTTTTTTCAAGTGTCTTTACCCTTGTTAAAAAGAGAACAAAGTAGGCATTTTTATTTGCATTCAGTGGGAGAGAGTACAAAGTGTTTCAGGCAAGAAGATTCTATTATAAATATTTTTAGAACATCCTAGATAGAGGCTTCAGTATGACAAAAATGTTCATTCTAATGCACTATAGAAACTCCACCCACAGAATTAGGTTGGGCCTCAGGGGATTCATTTGTTCAACATCCATTAGCGTTAAGGATAATTATACAGCTGAATCTCTGCACAACACATCCATTCACTGTCAGTCTATATTATGTTGTTTTTCAAGCCATTCTGAGGTGTGGTCGGTGGTGGTGTAACAGTCCATTTTTAGGAAAGTGTGAATTGCCTCAGTATGTGAAGCAGCATGGTGCAGTGGACAGAGGAATTCCTGAGTTCTAATCACAGCTCTGTCACCGACTCACCTGTGTCCTGGGGAAATTCACTTAACCTAAATTCACTTAACTTAAATTCCCTATTGGTAAAATGAAAATACTTATTTGCCTCACAGGAGCAAAGTAAGGATTATTAGTACATCACTTTGAAGGTCTGAAGTGTTCCAATAGGCAAGTTTGCCCTCATTGACAAACTGAGTTGGACAGGAGTTGGCTCCAATTATTATTAAAAAACAAGATACCAAATCAGACAAACATTCTACCTACTTTCCCTGATTTCTTTCTAAAAGGAAATCCAAATGATTTCTTAGAAGCCAAAGTTTCTCAACTGAAATAACCCTGTAGTGAAATTGTCATACAATAGGACAAATCTCTAGTTTCCAACCTTTTTACACCCAAGATGACTTTTTGAATTTAAGGGCAACCCAGGATCTCTACCCCACCACTTCCCCAAAGCCCCGCCCTGCTCACTCTATCCTCCCCTCCCCCATTGCTCACTCTCCCACACCCTCACTCTCTCTGGGCTGGGGTAGAGGGGGTTGGGGTTCAGAAGGGGATTCTGGATGCAGGCTCTGGGAGGGGGCTCAGGGCTGGAGGTGGTTCTAGGTGCAGGAGAGGGTATGGGATGCAGGCTCCGGGAGGCGGCTCAGGGCTGGGGGGGCAGCCTCCGCCGGGCAGCACTTACCTCCACGGCTCCCAGTTGGTGGCGTAGCGTGGCTGCTGCTAAGGCAGGCTCCCTGCCTACCCCGACCCCACAGCGCTCCCGGAAGGGGTCAACATGCCCCTGCGGCCCCTAGGGGAGAGCGGGGGGCACACGGCTCCATGCACTGCCCCTTTCTGCAAGCACCGCCCCTGCAGCCCTCATTAGCCACAACTCCCTATTCCTGGCCAATGGGAGCTGCGGGGTAAGGGCAGGCAGGGAGCCTGCCTTAGCAGCAGCCCTGCTGCACCACCAGAGATTGCAATCGACTGGGAGATCCTATAGGATTGACCAATTGATCACGATCGACCAGTTGGTGATCACTGGCATAAACGGTCACAAATCTTGTTTCATTCAATTACGATGTATAAGGATATCAGCATTTCATCTTCATTTATCAAGTTCATGATTTCTTTTCCGCTGTAGTATACATACTTGTCTGTCTGAATTTCAGAGAAGAAGTGAAGCTGGTTAATCTTGCTTCTTAGTCTGGCATTTTCTTCTTGTAGCTGCAGAAAAATACTCATTAGAAATCAGGAATGTATGGTCTGGTGATCATACTGATCTTTTTAACATGCAAAAACCAGCATGGATGAAACCTTCCAAGTCTCACTTCTGGAGCTGGAAAAATCTTGGCAATTTCCATGAACTAAATTCACTAACAAATATTTAAGAATATATCCTCTCAAACAAAACCAAAATAATAATCTTCTCCATTTCAGAGGAAAAACATGAGGCATGGAGAGATTAAGTGAGACAAGTGTGTGCCTGGATAAAGATTTTATTGCCATGAACATATGGAGAGCGATGAGGGGATTTTATAGCTCACCCTGCGTGCCTATAGAAACCTTTGTGCTGTGCCACACATCATCATTAGTTTTAACTTCTGCTATATAGAAGCGTTTAGAACTATTTCAAGGGGTTTCATTTCATATTCCTCCAACGCTGAAGCCAAGTCGCCTTAAGACCATTCACAGACTCCAGTGAAAACGCAGATACATTTTCAAGGCCCTTTAGGGTGACTTAAAATAACTTTTCTGGACCATGCGGAGGTGGCAAAGTTAAGCTCCAGCACTTCGCAAACTACCAGGACACTCTAGAAAGCCAGGGTGGGGGACGTAATAACTTCTGTTGGTGAGCGAGAAGCTGTTGAGCTCTTCGGGCCTGGGAAAGGGGCAGTGCATGGAGCCGTGTGCCCCCCGCTCTCCCCCAGGGCAGTGGAAGCTCTAGGGCTCTAGAAGCTCTATCAGAGGCGAGCTCGGTCACTTACGTCTCGGCAGGCCGGCTGCAGCGGGTGACAGGGCCCCTCTCCAGCTTCCCCCCGGGACGCCAGGCTCTGCTCTGCGTAGCCCAGGGGGTCACTCTCGTCCAGCTGCCACGGAGCGGAGTCCTCCAGCCCCGACCAGTCCGGGCGGTCGCAGTAGAAGGACTCCAAGGCGCTGGGCCCCGGCGAGGCGCTCCCGGGCCCGGCCAAGTGGGCTCGTTCCACGGCGGCGGGCTGGTAACACCCGCTCCACTCCGCATCCTCCTCGTCCAGCCGCGTGTCGCCCGCGCTGGGGTCCGGGAAAAACGGCTCGTGGAGCCGCAGGGGGGGCGGCGGCGCGGCGGCCTGCAGGGAGAGAGGGCGCAGGTGGGGACCGCGGGCTGGCGGGGGGATCGCGCTCCAGTCACCCACCCGCCCCCCCGGTACCTTGGGGCTGGCGCCGCGCGGGGCCGCGCCCCGGCCCTGGCTCCGCACGAACTCCCGGAAGGAGAAGGGGTTGGCCTCGCCGGGCTCCTCGCCTGCGGGGAGAGAGGGGACGCGTCAGCCGGGCCGTGCGGGGCGGACTCGGGACCCCCCCCCATGCCCGCCCCCTCCCGGTTCTCACCGCCCCAGAGCGTGGGGGTTCGGGGAAGGGGAGCGGGGGGCGCGGCTGTGACCCGCCATGGCCCCCCCACCGCCCCTCAGCTACAGACCCCCGTCGGCTCCCATCGGGGCGGGAGGCAGGGCCATTCCCCGCCTGGGCCCGCCCTTCCTGGGACTGACCAACCAGCAGCCACCGCAGGTTATTCCCGCCTCAGCGCTAACCACTGAGAACCCGCCTCCGGACACTCAGCCCCGCCCCTCCCCGGCATTGGCCAACCAGCAAACGCCGCCAGCGGCCGCGTTTAGCTCCGCCCCGGGCGACGCACGTGGTTTCCGTGCCGGGCAGCCGGGCGGAAGGGGAGGGCGGAGGCTGGGGCTTCCCGGACATAAGATGGCGGCGAACATGGTGCGGTTTCGGGGTGGCGCGTGGGGCCCGCTTCGCAGGTGAGCGCAGCCTCCTCCCCCGCCCGGACAGTAGTTGAATAGAGCTGCCCGTGGCCCCTCCCCTTTCTCCCCCTCCCCTTTGGAGCCCCTCGTGACCCTTCACCCTCCCCCCCATCAGTGACCCATAACCCTTCTCCCAGAGAGTCCCCTCAGCCCCTCCTCTGACAGGGCCCCCAAGGCCCTGGCTCCCCCTGAGCTCTTCCTCCTGCCAGAGCCTCAAGAATCTTGGTCTTCCCCAGTGCCCCCTGGCAGGCACCCCCTAAGACACCCCCCCCACACACACACTCATTAGTGAATCCTAATTGCTTCGCCATCACCTTTCTAAGAACCCAGGTGCCACCCCCAGGCTCTCCTCTGACAGGGCCCCCAAGAGCTAGGTCAGGGATGTCCCCTTCAGGACACTGCACACCCCTAGCTGCTCCTTGGCAAGTGACCTCACAAGATCCCCCACCCCATGTCCTGGGGCCTCACATCCTCCAATTACTGTTGCTGAGCTCTGAATAGAGTTTCCGCTGACCAGATCCTGACCTGCCCATAAATAAGGGGGTGTAAATGAAAGCACATCTATCTGTCTCACCTACCCAGCCTCCTTCCCTTGGGGTATCATGCAGGGCTTTCCTTTGCCTAGAAACCCATTCGCTCAACCCCATGATTGTGGGAACATTTTAGCCTCCTTCATAGTTTGCTGAACATTGAACAGCCCTTGATGGACAGAATTGGACACCTCAGCAACCTTCTGGCAGTATGACCCTCACTAGTGAGGTCAGGGCCAGTTGATTCCATGTATCTATTTAAGTACTTATGTGGCCCCCAGCACTGTAGTATCTGAGGGGATTTTTATCTTCTCACCACCCTAGCAAAGTAGGGAAGTGCTATAATCCTCACAGTCAAAGCATCCACTCTCATTCGTTACTGAAAGCCTGTTTGATGAACTGAGGTCTGGTGCACTGTGATTAGGTTTTTTTATACAAATGTCTATGATTGGTCTAGGTTTGGCTTGGCAGCTTACAGAAAATACAGCAGCGGTGGTGGCTGCCCCAACGTCCCTCTCACTTCTCCTCTGCCTGGAGTGCCTAAGCCTGTCTTCGCAACAGTTGACGGACAGGAGAAATTTGAAACCAAAGTTACAACACTAGAGAATGGACTGCGGATTGCATCACAAAACAAATTTGGACAGTTCTGTACTGTAGGGAGTAAGTACCGAATGACTTCAAGCAGGCAAGTCTCACTGCTCAGGGGAAGTTCTATGACTGGTGTTATACAGGCCAGACTCAATGATCACAATGGTCCTTTCTGGCTTTGTAATTTAGGAATCATTGCATTTGGATCTACCATATATAGAGGACCACATCCTGCTTTGGCACCAGTGGCCAAATTCCCATTGACTTAATTGGGAGCAGATTTGGTATTTAGGTACCAACGTGAAACAGACATACCTAATGGCTTGTCTTCACTGCACAGTTAACTTGAATTATCTACGCTCGAGTTATTCCTCTTGAGTTAGCCCAGCTCAAACGAGAGCAGCCACACTGCAAAATAACACTGGAGATATACTAAGTGGCTGAGTTAGCAGCTGATGAGTTGCGTTAACTTGAGCTTTAGCCTATACCCCGGTGGGCCAGCCAACGGGAGTTAAAAGCACCTCACTTGCGTCAAGGGGTTTTGAGTGTGGACGGGAGCAAGACTTGAATTATAACTCAAATTAACTTTGCAGTGAAGAGAAGTCCTTAGCGATATGGTAGTGAAATATGTACTTAGAAATAATCTAATGCATTGAAATTATGTTTTAAATTGAGATGGTCTTTGCTAGTCATATGCATTCTCATGCTTGTCAAATCAGTGAACAGGCAATGGGGTTAAAATAAATATTTAACTTTTTTTTTTTTTTTTTTAAATTATAAGTTCTTATAAATTCAGGATCAAGACATGAAGCAAAATACCTTAGCGGCATTTCACACTGTTTGGAAAAGTTGGCTTTCTCTGTAAGTATTGTTTGTGACGATAAGGTTCCTAAAGCCTCTGTGTTAAATACTTACAAAAAACCTAAACTCGGTTATTAGTATGGCTGTAATTATTCTCGGAAGGCCCAAGTCTGCTTTCCTTGAGCACCCAAGAGTCTTACTGACTTAAAGGAATCCAGCTCAAGTTGTGTGCATATATTTGCTTCGAGTGGGGAAAAAAAGAAAAGTGCTTCAGTGTATTAGGTCACACTAACAAATGGTAAATAGCCTCACATTTCATAAGCCTTAACACTTTTTGTTTGTTTGTGTTTTTCTTTGGTTAGTCCACAGCCCAGTTTGGCAGCAAAGATGAAATTCTTCTGACCTTGGAAAAGCACGGGGGTATTTGTGATTGTCAGGCATCAAGGTACACATCTTACTCTGTAGTTCCCCACGCGTGAATAGTTGTCATGATTGCTGACAGCGACGCAGCATAACTGAACTGGATTTTCTGTTCCATCACAACAATGACTTTGTTTTTGAATAGCAAGAGTAATCTCTTTGTGGCAAATTGCAAATTAGGATGCTAGTGTGAACATAAAATGAGAAGGAATTTTAGCGCTTTACTATTTCAAAGTACTGGGCAAATATTACCAGGAATTCATATATTCCACTTGAAAACTGAATGCAAAATATCTTTGTGTTGCAGGGATACCATGATGTATGCTGTTTCTGCTGATGCCAAAGGCCTAGACACTGTGGTCAATCTACTGGCTGATGTAGTACTGCAGCCCAGGTTATCAGGTGCGAGAATCTGAGTCTCTGTTTCAGGAAAGGATATCTAGACATTACATGACAAAATTATTTCAGTACTATCATTCATTACGTCCTACTGATTTAAAGACTTTTGAGTATTGAAGTAACAGAGCAAACATTAGATTGTTATAGAATGTTTTTATTATGAACGTTAATGTGCTTAGACGGGTCAGTCATTTCCACTTCCTTCTAGCAATGGGGTTTGTTTTAGACTGTTTGCTTCCATCTGAGAAGATGGACAGAGAATAACATAGCCCTAGTCTGCAAATGGATCCAATCTATTGCTGCTTTCCTATATCTGCATGTATCTGAAGAAGTGGGGTTTTTTACCCATGAAAGCTTATGTCCAAATAAGAACATAAGAACGGCAGTACTGGGTCAGATCAAAGGTCCATCTAGCCCAGTATCCTGTCTACTGACAGTGGCCAATGCCAGATGCCCCAGAGGGAGTGAACCTAACCGGTAATGATCAAGTGATCTCTCTCCTGCCATTCATCTCCACCCTCTGCCAAACAGAGTCTAGGGACACCATTCCTTACCCTTCCTGGCTAATAGCCATTAATGGACTTAACCTCCATGAATTTATCCAGTTCTCTTTTAAACGCGGTTATAGTCCTAGTCTTCACAACCTCCTCAGGCAAGGAGTTCCACAAGTTGACTGTGCGCTGTGTGAAGAAGAACTTCCTTTTATTTGTTTTAAAGCTGCTGCCCATTAATTTCATTTGGTGGCCCCTAGTTCTTGTATTATGGGAACAAGTAAATAACTTTTCCTTATTTACTTTCTCCAAATCACTCATGATTTTATATACCTCTATCATATCCCCCCTTAGTCTCCTCTTTTCCAAGCTGAAAAGTTCTAGCCTCTTTAATATCTCCTCATATGGAACCTGTTCCAAACCCCTAATCATTTTAGTTGCCCTTCTCTGAACCTTTTCTAGTGCCAGTATATCTTTTTTGAGATGAGGAGACCACATCTGTACGCAGTATTCAGGATGTGGGTGTTCCATTGATTTATATAAGGGCAATAAGATACTCTCCGTCTTATTCTCTATCCCCTTTTTAATGATTCCTAACATCCTGTTTGCTTTTTTGACCGCCGCTGCACACTGCGTGGATGTCTTCAGAGAACTATCCACAATGACTCCAAGATCTTTTTCTGAATAAATAAATCTGTTAGTCTTTAAGGTTCCACCAGACTCCTTGTTGTTTTTGTGGATACAGACTAACACGGCTAACCCTCTGATACTCAGTGTTTTACTTAAGACTGAATAGTGTGGATGGATTCTTTCCCCCACCCGTCTTAATTTGAGCTTCTTTGTTTCTTGACCTCCAGGATTCTGCTGGAGCCAACATCCCACGGTGTTCCTCATTGTCTGTGAAGGACCCAGGGAGTTCATTACCTATTCAATACTTTGGACAGTGGTTCATATCCTTTGTTTTCTCTCACTGTAGATGAAGAAATTGAGATGACTCGAATGGCTGTGCAGTTTGAGCTCGAAGATCTGAATATGAGACCTGATCCAGAGCCTCTACTAACGGAGATGATACATGCGGTAAACTGCTGTGGAATTTGTCTCACACACATTGCTCTCTGCACTATGTCATTCAGTTTATTTCTCACCCTTTACTTAATTTCACTGGTGCTTTTTATGTGGGCTATAAACACACTTTTATTATGCTAACATAGAATTGGGGGAGCATTTTGCTTATACTGCGTTTTGAAATCCTATATTCTGCATGAGGTAGAAAGTCAAGAAAGGGGCAGTTAAGGTTCCAACATAAACCAAAGCTTATTCACACTGCAATCTTTGTATAGTGTGCTTGATACTTGCACTTCATGCTTCTTTTAGAACTTCCTGTCTCCAGCATTCCATTGTTTTTCCTGTTTGCACCTTCAGGATGATGACTTACATTTCTGTAGTACTCTTTCTCCCCAAGGATCCAAGCTATTCATCTAGTACCACTGAAGTCTGGGCACAGGCTCTGCTGGGGGCGGGATCTGAACAGCATCCTGTCCCTGGAAGTATAGGCTACAGAAACTGGACAAACCCCTGCTCTTACAAAAAGGGCCATGATACCATTAATATCCATGTAGAGCAGACAGGGTCTTGGATTTTTAAAGCCTCTGAAAGTGTCATGTACATTTAGCCAATTAAATTTACTGTACCTTCCTCAAAAGAATGAAGGG